GTAGCCCAATGAAGACATTAAGGGGGGGGTTGCTGCTGCCTTGTCATGTCTGTCAGTTTCCTACAGATAGTTCAGGCTGTCATGATATGGGGGTGGTGGTGTTAGGGTGAAAACACTCTCATTCTTGTGTGTCGATATAGGTAAAGGTAAAGGTTCCCCTTGACAATTGTTGTCCAGTCATGTTCGACTCTAGGGGGCGGTGCTCATCCCCGTTTCCAAGCCATAGAGCCAGCGTTTGTCCGAAGACAATCTTCCGTGGTCACATGGCCAGTGCGACTTAGACACAGAATGCTGTTACCTTCCCACTAAAGTGGTCCCTATTTATCTACTTGCATTTGATTGCTTTCGAACCGCTAGGTTGGCGGGAGCTAGGACAAGCGACGGCTGCTCACTCCATTGCGTGGATTCGATCTTACGACTGCTTGGTCTTCTGACCCTGCAGCCCAGGCTTCTGCAGTTTAGCCCGCAGCACCACCACGTCCCTTCGATATAGCACACTTTAAAAATGCCTGAATAAGATGAACAGCATCATGTAGATTCACTGCAAAAGCTGAACAGATGATAAGCATTCTCAGAAAATGAGATAGGGGTAGTTAAAGAAGCAGCTTGGCTTACTTTCAAGGCAGCTAGTATAAAGCTAACACATTTTGAGGGCTAGCATTCAAAAGAGAAAAGAGAAATTTATGTCTCCCCAAAATATCAGAGAAACAGAAGGAGCATATACATTTTATGAAGAGCTGTTACTTGAGTATATGACAATAGGATGTATACAGATGACAAACTGACAAAAATGTTCTAAGTCACCAGTCCCTTTCTTGAGATGTTTCATCATATTCTGTACTAGCAAAAGCCAATTCAAATTAATTTCTCCCCTCTCCCACTCCCACGGGAAAATTCAAAACAACATTGCTGTGTTCTCTAGCAAACTTCCACCCAGGCATTGACTGCACCCAGCCCTCTTTATCTTCCACAGTTATGCTGTTACTTATGCCATCGTTCAACTGTCTCTCCTAGAAACCCACAAACATAATAAGAATTAAGTCCGTGGACATCTCCAATGAAAGGGGATACAAGCGATGTACTGTACCTCCATTGTCTCACAGGAGGCGTACAAAATATGCAGTCACCATCAGCTAAATGCAGTCCTTCTAGGATTTGTAGCCTCAAAGAAGTTGTTCTTATATCCATGGTATACACTCAGCAGATAAGCAGTACCTATTATTAAAACAAATATTTCTGGCATAGGGAAGGAGCTTTCTGCAAAGCACAGGTTGAGCTAAGGCTAGAATCTAGAACAGTAATTTTTGGTGGAACTAAATGGGTGGAGCCTAGTGATTTGGGACAGCTCACAGGTAGTGCAAACAGAGATTCTAAGACAGTGGTGGGAAATCACCAGACCACCAAACCTTTCAATGATCAAGGAAAAAGCAGGGCTGGGCAATTGATCATGTAACAGAGATTACATGGCTGATGAACCCATTCTCAATCTCCCCTTTTATGGAACCCCTGAACAGCAAGTATCCCATCACTCATTGCAACTGAAATATTGCTATGGGCTGAGCATACTCAGTAAAATTCAAGTTACAAGGAGCTACCAGATTTATAGGTTCTAGGCCATCTGACATTCCTACTAAGTATTCGGCTGTCTATACATTTGTAGAAGCTCTGGAGTCTAGAATCACACCTTTTCAGCAGCCCAGGCACCAAGGAATAGTTCTTGTAGACAACTGTTTTTATTAAGAGCCCTTGCAGGTCTTGTAAAGAGGCCAGCTGGTCACAGCCACTACCACAGATATCTTCAGGTATATATTAAATGAAGACAAATGTTAATAGGCTTAAGGCAGACCTGGGCAAACTGCGGCCCATGGACAGTTTTGAACATCAAAACCATGTCTAGCTTTCTGTCTAAAGTTGATCAGTTGCTTATCTTTAGCATACCGCAAAATACCTCTTTAGTATTTGTGAAGATTAACAAGTTTAAAATAAAAACTATCATGTCATCACTGTTTCATTTTATTTTAAAGTAAAGTTGGTTCGGCCTCTGAACACAGTTCAGATTTTTCATGTGGCCCCCCTATAGAAATGAATTGCCCACCCCTGGATTAAGGTACTGTATGAGTAAGTTTTGCAGGCTTAAAGAGTGTGGAAGAAGCAATTGAGCCCCATCAGAAGGTTTTCTAAGCTGGTCTCAGAAAATACAAAGAGCTATTTGTTGAGCCAAATTGCAATCCATACCAAAAGGAGATAACCCATAACCACAAAGACAATGAACTCTGCAAATTCCTATACCTTCTGTCCTTCACATGTTACGTTTTCCTTCTTTTCTACTCTGCTATGACATCCACAGTTCTTTTCATGGCAGACCCAGCATCTCTGTAATACAACCAGATTCTATCTGAGCTCCTGATATCTACTGGGATCTCTATCCATCCAGCTTAACCTGAGGCGCTGCTATACTATAATCATACAAGATGTGCAATCTTACAGAAACTTTAACAAGGAGCAAATACTAACTATGCACAGATTTCTCTTGTCTCAAAAGCAGGGCTGGAAAACACATTTTTCTATGGCATATGGCATTTCTAGTACATTCTTGGGAGCTCTGGAAGACTACATTTCCCATGCTCCCTGCTATCTAAGACAATGGTGTTATCTGTGTTGAAAGCACCGGTGCGGAAACTGAGTTGCATCTGCCTGAGACACGATTCAGCATTTCATACTAAATCCATTGGCTACAGGGCACCTAACAGAGCTTTAAAATAAAGAAATAAAAATAAATCTGAATGAAAACAATATGTGACTCATAATGCCACCATACTATATCAAGCAGGGCAAACGGACATTCCAGAACAGGGAATTATGATTTAAACTTCAGTACCATCATTAGCAAATCACACGTGGAGTGTTGGGCAGGTGGGTTATCCAAATCAGGGCATTGGTTGCCCTATGCTGGGAACAGCAGGGCGGTTGGCAGCTCTAAGGCAACAGAGGAGCTTCCTCCAGTGCAAGTCACAGAAATTAGGTTATTCTTGCTAAAATCACAGCATTCTTCCTGATAGCCAGCAATTTTGCAGTGGCACAGAGCAATCAGTGAGAAGACGGGCAATTCTAAAATACAAATTTTTTGTTGTAGAAACTTATTCAGAGAATGTTTTCTCATGAGGTAGCTGTTGCAGCATGTATAAAAAATGAAAACAAATGAGTGTTTAAATTGGTTAGTCTTTCATGTGCCACAACCTTTTGTTTTTATTCCTGCCTAACAAATTTCCCTTGCTATGCATTCAAGGTGCATCATGGTGCTTCATGAGCAAGATTCTGAATATTGGCATTCACAGTTCCATATTGAAACCCACATTTCAAAAGAGAACAAAAACAATCCAGTATCAGCAAAATGCAGAGCCTCACCAGTAAAATGCAGGCAGAAGGGCCTGAAATGGGTGGGGCCAGGGATGCAACTTTCAGGGACACAACTTCAGTGCAAGGCAGTCTACCCCCCCTCTCTCTCCCCCCCCTCTCTCTGTGTGTGTATGTGTGTGTGTGTGTGTGTGTGTGTGTTGCAGTTCAACTATATTCTTGAAATTAGAGGAACTGGAACTTCTGGTCAAGCATTTGCCAGCATAAAAGGAAAAAATAGAACAAAAATCTGTAAAGTAACAGGAAGATTTCTAGTTGATGAAGATAACTTGATAAAGATAAGATTTTGTCTTTTAGATGATTTTAAAGCACAGTTTAAAGTTAGTTGACGTCTAACCTAGGTTACATGATTTCAAAGCAAACTTTCCGTTTAGGGCACATTGAAGATTATTCAGTGATTCCAACCAAGTTTCAAATGCCATGCTGACATATGCTTCAATGGGCATAAACGTCGTAATACTTGCACGTGTGGAGATAGCACAGGTCTGGAAAAGTAAATATGTGTGATTGCTCATCACAATATCAAATTTTCAAAGGAACCGAAAGAACCTTGGACTGAGGATACAAGAACGGCACTGTTGGATTAGACTTTCTGGATGAGACCTTATTCCAGCAGCGAAGGGCCCCATGTCTCTGGGAAACTCATGAACAGGACATGCCATTAAACTGAAAGCCTTCCACTGTGTGATTTTCCACCAGCATCTGTGATGAGAAAAACTGCCTCTTCATTTCACAACAAAGGCAAATAGCCATCAATTGACATACTCTCCTATATCTCCCACGGTAGGGTATAAAGCAATCTGTTAAAAGACTTTCTACACCTTGACAAGAAAATGAATCAGACTAGAAATAGCACTACAATCTGACATATGATAATAAACAGACACCTTGACTGATTTTACAACTACAAGCATTGGGAAGTCAAACACAGCTCCAGTATGTAATCTACAAAACTTAGGTGCTAATCTTTGATACAGCAAGGTTCTCCATTGACTCAAGTTTTTGGAAGCTATTCTCAGTGAATGAGTGAAATATATTTTTTCTCATGTAAACTAACCATACAGTAGGCAACGTGACTCCCACCTGCAGCATCATAACATATTGCTGAAAACCTGAGAATTTATACTAAAGATATGCTGACCAACTCTTGATGTGTTTGTCTTTGAAAACACCAAATAAATGCTTTCTCTTCTACATTTTTAACACTGGGTTGACATGTCTTCGCAATTATCTCCCTGATGCCCTTCATTTATTACTAGACAGCAGGCAAATCTTTCGGCCACGACACAGTGCCCGAAAAAGCGTTCATCCCCCACCCCTATCAGCCATGCTGCTCCCTGCCCACATTATACACTCCCACTGCCCATTTCCGTTCTTGCCTTCCAAACAGAACTTGCTCTTTTCAACAGGTTTCATGCATCTGAAGAGACAAAAACGAGAGAGAGGCAAATGCCCAGTGGCGAGGGGATTTGCACCATCTTCATCTTCTATGTAGTAAAGTGAAAAGTTTTTTCTTCTGTTGTTCTGATGTGAATATGCATCACATAGTACAAAAGCCTTTCCCTGCAGAACAGGGGCCACTGTACCTGGCTCAGGGCCACTCAGGTCTGGAAAGGAGAGGAACTCCTTGCAGATGTCCAAATCCAGCTTGGGTGGACTCTTCTCCCGGCAGAGACTGGTGACAATCCGAGTGGCTGCCTGACACTGTCTGTACTTCTTGGTGGTGCTCATTTCCCAAGTTGCATTTCCTTTGCCTCCTACCTGGCTGACTAGGAGAGATATTAGAGAAGCTAGGCAAACAGTAACAACGTGGCATATGCACACACACAGAGACACACACCAGACACCACTAATGCATTAGTGTCATCTTGGTGGATCTTTGCCCCCAGGCACCCCAAGAGAGGAAAGCTGTAGTTAAGGTGCACGCTTGACGCCCTGGTGGCTACTTTCCGAGAAAGTACTGCTTGCTTCAAGCCAGCGCCTTCGGATTGTCTTGTTGCATCCAGTATCAGAGAGCTGTGTTTACTGCCAAGGCGTGTTCTGCACAACGATCCTCCTCCCCAATTCAGTTTGATTCTCGCCTTGCATAGTTTTCAAAGCCTCCTTTCAGAAAATCTTTTTAACCCCTTCACTGACATGCCTTTCCTTTCAGGTGGTGGAAGCATTCCTCACAATTCCCGGTACAAAAGAGGCAATGCTCTTTACAGAGCATATGCAAGGGTGGTGGAAAGGAGAGCGTTGAAATCGTACAGCGCAGCAGAACAGCTTGTCATAACACGGAGCTGAAGCTGAGCAACACTATTGGTTCCCACACATGCTGTTTCCAGAACAAGGGAGGGAACAGGTTTTATTTATTGGCTTATCCCAGTCCTACCACGCTAAACTGCAGATTGCTAATAGGGTGCCTACCCTTTTTTGTGTTCAGTAATTAGATCATTGTTTTAATTTACAGCGCCACTTCTGGGTTCCCACTGTCGGATCAGGCTGCATGAGCAATTCGCATGTACGGAGAAGTGCCAATTGTCAGGCAGGAACAATGTTCGCATAATAGGCAATTGAAACAATATTCAGTAGAAACAAATTCTGGCTTGGAAGTGGAGGAGGAAGAAGCCAAGCTAACAAGGAACATGAGATATGATAAAGGGGTTGCTGCCCTGTTCTTACATATCAGAAGATAGTGGGCGTCTGGAATAATGCCACTGTATTTTATAGTCACAGATAATTACCTGTTAACATAACTTTATGTCATTATGGAGACTCGGTGTCAAGTAATAACCTGCTTTAATCCCAGGTAGGGGGACTCACATGTTCTTATTGCTTGTAAAGAATCATAAAGAAATGAAGAATTTTTTGTTATGGGCTCTGCTTAAGAGTGTTATGTGTTCTTTTTTTTTCTATTCCTACTAAGCTCAGAATCCTGCATCAAATACCTGCAACATCCCTGTAAATGTATGTTGTTACTGTGGAATTCCATTGTGATTAATTTTGTGCCATGTTTGTTTTTCCTATCACAGTTCTGCCTGTGATAAGAATGTGTCAATAGAAGACATGGAATGTAGCTGTACATTGCACAGTTCTAGCATTTTGATACCCCTTTAACTGTCTTATATAATCCTGGGATCTCTAGTTTTGTGAAATGTGTCAATAGAAGACATGGAATGTAGCATTTTGATACCCCTTTAACTGGGATCTCTAGTTTTGTGAAGTACGTAATGGGAATGCTGTGCTAGAAAGCTCTAATGTAACTGTTCTCAACCTTTAATCCTCTAGATATTTTGGACTATATCTCCTAGAACCCAGAACATTGACCAGTCAGCTGGATCTCTTGAGAGACAACATCCAAACCGAATAGAGGACCAAAGATCATAAAACAACACAGTTGTCCTTTTGTGACTGCATGTTGCAACAAGATACTGGCAACTGCTCTTTAGAATTCTACACCACTGGCTCAGATGGCTCTGAAAAGCATCCAGTGGGTAACACATCTGGCAATGGCTAGGGCCAACCCAATACATTTTGCTGCTTGAAGCGGAGCAGCCAAATCCTGGGTCATGATATGTAATACCTGAAGACAGCCAAGATATTTTGGTACCCAAGGCAAAAATCCCACAAGTTAAAAAATTAGCAGTTTCTATCCCTTGTTACCCAGACTGCCTCACTCTGTCTCATAGTAGTACTGGACATATCAGTGATTAACTGTGATTGTATATGGTTGCTTAGTGCCCGAACATAGCTTTAAAAAACTTAGTAATTAAATTTAAAGTTAGAAGGTATGGAAATCAAAAAAGTCTTCAATCAAGGAGACAAGCCATTTGTCCCCAGTTTCCATAGCTGCTGAGAGAAAAGAAAACTGGATACTATACACTTACCTTTTGTTTCATAATGGTTTGGATAAGACATGCCCATGTGTCATGCCTACATGGAGAAATAACACACTTCCACATCTTCAGATGTGCAGAAGGTCCAAGTAAGGACTCCTTGAAATCAGCAACTGGGCTTATAAGGGTCCATATGCACTTCAGAAAGCTTCTGTGTTGGTCACCCTACAGTATTTACAAAGATAAATATATCAAGTAGCCTTGCATACCTTAATGACTAGCAAGTTTTATTTTGCATAGGCTTTTGAGGACAGCTGCCCAATGCATCTGAAGCAGTGGGCTACAGTTCACTACCTGGGAACTGACACCTTGTTAGATCGATGTGGCAGCTTTTGCAACTGGTGCTCCATACATGTAAATATTGAACAAAACAGCAGCCACAGTAATCTCCTATAGGAGAATGCATATGGAACTGCTGGAGAGCACAGTGGTTTAGATATTTGGCTGCGGAACCAGAAGTTGGGACTTTAATTTCTGACTGTGCCTCCTTGACAGGGGTGGGACTTGATGATCCATAGGGTCTCTTTTAGCTCTTCGATTATAAAGCTAATGTCAAATAAATCTTGTTAGTCTTTAAGATGTAAGAGGACACTTTGTTTCTGCCACAACAGACTAACAGGGCTACTTCCTGGAAACTGCCATATATTTATTACTCATCAGTTTAATGGGTAGTCCCATATTTCAGATTTTTGGCAGTAAGAAAATAATAACAGATAACAACTCTGTGATCCATAAATCACAGAGATTTGCTCTGAGTATGCAGTGGTAAAATAAAAACAAAGGTTGGCAAGCATGCAGAGCTTTTTCTTTCTTTCTTTTTCATTCATGAAGCATGTATTTCAGGACTGGGCCTTTCTGTTCAGAAAGAAAATTTGCAACAGAACCTTCTTCATGTGCTACACCCAAAGTGATTCCTGTGCCTCCAAATTGTCCAGCCATTATCTTTATCTATGCTGGCCAAGTATCCAAATATAATTCAAAGTACTAGTTTTGATCTACAAAGCCTTAAATGGCTTGGGTCCATGCTATCTAAAAGGCCACATCTCCCTCTATGAGTCTGCCTGGGCTTTAAGATCATCAGAGGAGGCCTTTCTCTCAGCCCCACCACCTTCACAGGCGCGCTTGGCGGGGACATGCAAGAGGGCCTTCTCTGTTACTGCTCCTAGGCTGTGGAACTCCCTCCCACGGGAAGCTAGGCTGGCCCCATAGTTGTTTTCCGCAAGCAGGCAAAGGCCTTTCTCTTCAGGCAGGCTTTTCCTTAATAACTGTTGGCCTGAGAAGGGTTTTTAAATGGATTGTTGTAGTCTGTTTTAAATGTATTTTAGTATTGATTTTATTCCTGTTTTTAATGAAATGCTTATTTATTTCTTTTTTTAATATTTGTGTACCTACTGCTTTTAGTTATTTAATATTGTCTTTTTAATGACATCAGCCTCCTTGGGTTCTTTTTAAGGAGAAAGTGGGATAAAAATATTTTAAATAAATAAATAACAAATAAATGTAACCCCATTTCTGCTGGCTTTATCACAATATTTTACTCACCTTTCTCCCAGTGCCTCCTGCTCTCCAATCACAGCACTGCTGCTTTGTGACTTACACATGAAATTAATGATGTGTAATACTTCCAATGGGAATATAAGTATTATCAAATGGCCATTTTCCTTTTCTCTCTTTCTTCCCTCTTTTTCTTTTCTCTCCAGACCTTCTGTCAGATTACATCTGGTGGCAATGGGGCCTTCAGCCCTGCTTCCCCATTAAATGCCAGAACAAGAAGATCAACTGATCATTTCCTTGTGGATGGCTGAATAGGAAAGCCTAGAAGTTTCAGTGTGAGTTGCTGTAGGAACATAAGTGGAGAAAGAAGAATTGCTGACAGAATAACTGGACAGGCGTTTAAAGTATTCTCATCATACTGAAAGCAGATCACATACACTCCAAGTTAAAAGACTGGCTCCATACAGGGCATGCCTATCACAAGTGAGTCTATTTTTGCAGCAAAATAAAACAAACAAAAACCACTTAGTTGGAATGTGGAAACATTCATTTACTCAATCTTTTCCAAAATGACAGCCTCAGTCCATCCCAATAGTCAGACCAGAAGAATATTCCAGGGAGATGAGGGTACTCTGTGCAATGTAGTGTTTTCTATGCACTCTTTTACTGTTGAGTAATGGAAGGATGAGGCGTAGATGTCAGCATATTTACTTCTTTGATTTTAAAAAAGGCGACAATAAAACTGGTAAAATAGAATGGGAGTCTTTCAGAGGAAAATCTCCTCATTGGATGGTAGCAAAAAGAAGGCGCCGTTGTGTCCTCCTTTCTCATTAACAGATTTCACCAGCAAGGAGAAAGATGGGAGAATCAAGTGATGATTATAAGTGTAGAATGACATCCCATAAAATTCAGTGAATGAGGCAGAGTAAAGATTGATAAAAGCCTTATCTGAAACTTCTCTAGGATTTGACTCTGACTGATTTTTGGTATCACCTGGCAGGACAAAGTTCCAAATAAAGTAGTCCTAGATCGAGCTAGAATGTTTAGCATATATACATTACTGAAACAGCAATGTCTATGTTGGCTTGGGCATCTTGTAAGAATGGCTGTTGGTCGGATTCCAAAAGATCTCCTGTATGGAGAATTAATGCAGGGAAACTGCCCCAGAGGGAGACCACAGCTGCGATACAAGGATATCTGCAAGAGGGATCTGAAGGCCTTGGAAATGGATCTCAACAGATGGGAATCCCTGACATCTGAGCATTCAGCCTGGAGGCAGGCGGTGCATCATGGCCTCTCCCAATTTGAAGAGACCCTTGTCCAGCAGGCCGAGGCAAAAAGGGAGTCCTGAAACCAGCAAAATCAGGGAGCTGGACATGGAACTGATTGTACTTGTCTTCAGTGTGGAAGGGATGGTCATTCTCGAATTGGCCTTCTCAGCCACACTATATGCTGTTCCAAGTCCTCCATACAGAGCGCGATACCATAGTCTCTTGAGACTAAAGGATGCCTAAGCAATCAATCAGGATTTAATGGCAAGGTAAAAAAGTTAGTATTTTGATCTCAGTAAAGCAACAACCAGGGTGATATTAACCAAGATAAAGATGGGGGATAAAGTTGGATACTCTGAGTGCAAGTTATTCTACCCCCTCCCCAGCTAAACAAACCTCAAACAGACCTGGAGTTGGGTTGCTTCCAGGTGGACACATTAGTGCTACTAGCAAAAAATGAATCAAAACATTATGCAGCTATTCCATTTTTTTCCTTCCTAAATTGGTATGACAAGCAAAAAGTTTGAAAGAGTGGTAGACAAACAGGGAGGGGTTACCAAAGAAAAATTGTGTAATCTAGACCCCTCCCTGTAAGTTTTTGTGTATGAGATACCTCAAACTACCCCAGGGGAAAAGGAAATGTGATTGGCCTGACTCATATTGCCCAAAATGGTAACAGTTTTGTCATTGTATATATTATAGTTGGCTGACCAGGACTTCTGGGAGTTGCAGACTCATGGGTAACGCAGGGGTCCAAGAACTCCTGGATTACCTAAGATTGAGAACCACTGGTTTACTATTCCAGTAGCAAACTGAACCATTTGTTGGTTGTTGGTCAGCAGATTCCCCATATAGACGGCTGTGATTATCTTGAGTTTCTAAAATGGCGGAAATCTCCCCAAATAGTGCCCTAATTCTGTTTAGCCTGTTGTACCTGTTACGAATATTGCTGACTTTTTCCTTGACAGCAATATTCAGTAATCCTCCTTTTCCTGTCTTGGCCTTAACAGAGAGATGAGGGTTGATGATTCACATTTAAGCACCATTAAGGGTTTTAAATGCAGGCATTTGCTTGTTCTTGGCCAGACAAATGCAGGACAGATGAAAATGAGATCTCCTTCCTGTCACCATTAATTAAAATTAGCACGGGAGATAGAAACCTTTTGTCAAGTTAGCTTCTCTGACTAGCTTTCTCCTAAGCCTGCCTTTTGCAATCTTTATGACTTGTGAGGCATTGACTGGTGAACATCACTCCCCCAGTCCTGCAGCCTCTTCCCAGTTAAAGGAGCTAGGAACTCAAAACTATCTGTGTGTACAAATGTTGTACAGACTCTGTTGTCATATGCTACCTGGAGAATGTTGATTTTACTGGGGAGACTGAGGTTTCCAAGTGTCTGAAATCTCCAGATACCTAGAAAATCAACTGAGAAATGGTAAGAGTGTAAAGCAATTAACACTGCTCTTTCATGATTTTTAAATTTTATTTGGATACAGTCTGCGCAAGGCTATGACCTATTATTGAAAAAAAAACACACCCTGCTTGGCCTTGGAATGCTGCATAGCACTGGAAAGATTTATTGACTTCTTTCTGCCATTGTTCCATATAATGGACAAAAATATTTTTAATTAGCAAAGAACTATTTAGGGTGGATTCCTGTAAATTACGGCATTAAAGCAACAGTTGCCTTCCTTTGTCCATGCCATGGGCCCAATTCCTCGGCTACTATCTATAGTACAAAAAGACAGAAATATGCAGGAGACGGGATAAGAGAACTGTAGTCAGTCACCATCACTAGCCACTGATTACAAAGACCACAAAGTTTAGCACAAAGGAAAACAGGTATATTTTCTTCTTCTTAGTATCATTTTGTTCTTAGTATCAGGCAGTGGTTTCCAACCTTAGGTAACCAGATTTTCTTTTACTAAAACACCCAGAAGTCTTCACTACTAGCTGTGCTGAGTTGTAGTCCAATAATATCTGGGACCCAAGGCTGGGAACCACTTGTCTAGATGGCTAAATATAGTTGTAAACTGTGACTAACTTTTTACTCAGCTTCACATAGCTTGGTGAGAGCAGAGGTGGGAAAATTGTGGCTCTGGAGCCTTTTTTTAAGGTTAGTTTTGTTGATCTCACTCTGCCCAGACTTCTCTGACTGCAATCAGTAGTTTTCTTCAACCAAAAAGGCAAACTGCTGCTCCCAGTAGTTTCCAATAGCAGTGATCAACTTTTAATAGGTCACAAAGGTTTCCTGCAGTGTTTAAT